TAAGTCTACATACTGGACAGTGATACTTACCAATAAATGAAATTGCCTTTGGATTAATTATACCACTAGGAAAGAGGTGAAAGTCATATTCTTTCCCATCAACAACCACAGTATGGCCTGCGTTATTTCCACCCTGTCAAAAAAAGGAGGGAAAAAAGAATATCAAATAAAGAAAAATAATTAAATTATTTTAACTTCTATCTCTATCAGCTAAGAACCCAGCCATCTGGACACCAATTCTGTGCCCAAATTTAATATTATAAATATTTATATCTTGAAATGGACTAATATATGGGGGAAGTGGCTGGATTCAGACTAAGGGCCTTTACAGACTGCCAGAAATAATGCAGCTTGAAGCCACTTTAACTGACCTGGCTCAGTGCTAGGGAATCATGGGAACTGTATTTTTTTCTGGGACATTGAGCCTTCTCTGTCAGAGAGCTCTGGTGCCACAATAAACTACAGTTCCCATAATCCCTTAGCACTGAGCCAGGACAGTTAAAGTGGCCTCAAGCTGCATTATTTCTGGCAGTCTGTAAAGGCCCTAAGTTAGCACACTTTAGTCCCCCTGAAATAAGTGAGGCAAATTTATTGTGACAAATATTGAGTTTAATGGGATATACTCCCGCATATAGGAGTGAAGCACTGAATTGCACCAAATCCAGCTTTGCTGATAGTATTTATTTTTAATTGGTTTTTTTTTTGCATGTGACTTTATAACTTGCTTCAGTATCCTTCTTCCCAAACTCTGCATGCCACTTCTCAAGGTGTACACAGGAACAAATAAAACACAGAATAAATCAGGACAAATCTATAGGCCCTTGTAACCCAATGGTTCTCTAACTTTGATCTTCCAGGTGTTTTGGACTTCATGTCTAAGTAGTCTTAGTCAGCTCAGCTAACAGTCAAGGATTTGGGAGGCTGAAGTTCAAAATGCCAGGACCACCAAAATTTGAGAACCACTAATTTTGTCCAACCTCCTCTGCCAATGCAGTGAATCCATTAGTACAACCTCCTTGCTAGGTATCAATACAGATTCTGCTTTTAAAAAATTGCACAAAAACAATTCTTTAGAAGATATTTCTATATTGCTTAATAGTGAAGTCAGAAATCTCTAAGCAGTTTACAATCTGTTAGCCAACTGCCCCCAACAAGCTGGATTTTGATTTTACCAGCCTATGAAAGGATGGAAGGCTGAGTCAACTTTGGAGCCTTCGGATTGAACTCACAACCTTGTGGCTGCAGTACCAACATTTAACCACTAGGCCCCCAGGGCTCCCTAAATGGTCCCTGTCTGTGGTCCCTTCTAGCTCTAAAATTTTATTATTCTAAGTATAACTCCACAAAACTGTACCAACCTTTGAGTTCTCCATCAGAATAGATTGTTTAAAAAAAAGTGGGGGAAGGGTAGGGTAAGAAGCATACGTCCAAAACGTTTTTGTTAGGTTACATTCAGCAATTAAATTTGGTTCCAAAATGGAGACTGCAATCTTGGGTTGTCACTGACAAGTACGCAAATGTTGCACAACTTCTAACAAAGCCCACTCAGATGAAGACAATGTGGCAGGACCCAGACATCTTTGCTGAATTCCTTAACCATTGTTTTTGTTGTTCTCTTCAAGTTGCCTCCAATTTATGACAAACTTATCATAGGATTTTCTTGACAAGATTTATTCAGGCTTCTCATTGCCTTCCTCTTGGGCCGAGAGCGTGAACTGCTCAGTCACCCAGTGGGTTTCCATAGTTGAGAGGAAATTTGAACACTGGTCTCCTGGAGTCTTAGTTCTAACACTCAACCTACACACTTTTTTAAATACCAACTCCCCTCTCCCAAAGATCCATTTTGCAGAAATACTCTTAACTGATATAACAGCACAGAACAGGTAAACAGCCACTGTTATGGAGATGGGCTGTATAAGAAATTCATTTTGCATTTCTTATTTTTGCAAACAGATGAAAATATACAGATTAGAATACTGTATACATTTGATAATAACAATCTCTTTATCTGCTCTCTCTCACATGCATCACCAAGAACAATCTGCACAGCCAGAAATGCCACAGTTCCTTTTTCACCCTTATAGTAATACACACACCCTTCCCCATGGAAATCTACAAGTATCAAAAAGCAAATAAAGTGAAGCAAATAAAGTGAGCAGAAACATTTGAACTTCATTTTTAGTTACTGGCTATTCAATTGTTGCCCAGAATAATACACTTATTTCCAAGAAGGGTACAGAAAGCCAACCTTGTTTTCTTACAGAACTTTGGTAACTTTAAACTTGACCTTCTCATATAATGCTGGTGATCCTGGAGCCATTTTATCAGTACCCAAAGGAGAAGCCCAAGTTTAAAATAGCAATGTCACCATGTAGTTCTAAATCCTCCACAGATGCAAGAACTCTCCACTAGTGAGTCTTGTTATTCAGATGCAAGCAAGTGCCTAACAGGTGCTTTATTTCTATCTTTTTAAAAAATAAATCTTTCTTAATTTTAGATTATCTGAAAGGATGTGTAAGTTGTATGTATGAAAAACACAACTCTTAAAAACATCAAATAAACAAGATACAGACAGAATAGCACAATTCTGCAAGACCCAGTCCCCTTGAGCAGTCAAGTCCTCAAAAGGCCTGCTGAAATAATAATTACAAAGTCTTAACCTGTCTGCAGAAGGATAGCAGAGAACATGCCAGTCTAACCTTTCTTGGGAGGGAGTTCCAGAGCCTGGGAGCAGCCATAGATTAAGCCCTCCCACATTCCTACTAGATGTACCTGTAAGGGTGGCAGGACAGAGAGAAGGACCTCTCCAGCAGATCTCAAAAAACAGGCACATTTGCAGCAGGTACATTAGCAATAGTATTCAAATTTCTATACTGCTTCATAGTGAACTAAGCGCTCTCTAAATAGTTTACAATCTGTAAGTCAATTACCCCCAACAAGATGGGTACTCCTTTTACCAGCCTATGGAAGGATGGAAGGCTGAGTCAACCTTGGAGCCCTAGGATCAAACTCACCACCTTGTGGCTGCAGTACTAGCATCTAACCACTGTGCCACTCAGGTTTGTAAGTATGAATATGCAGATGTTAACTCTGTCCCACCCTCTGACAGAGCCAGTTAAAGGGGCTTTTAATAAAGGATGAAGTATTTATAACATGGAGCCACCGTGGTGTAGTGGTTTCACCATTGGACTATGACTCTTAGAGATCAGGGTTCAAATCCCTGCTCAGCCATGAAAACCCACTGGGTGACCTTAGGCAAGTCACAGTCTCTCAGCCTCAGAGGATGGCAATGGCAAATGCCCTCTGAAGAAACTTGCCAAGAAAACCCTGTGATAGGTTTGCCTTAAGTTAGAAACAACAAACAACAACACAGTTATAGCACAATCCAAACAAGGCAAATCTGCCTATCTGGCTAAGCTCCTTCTATGTGAAATACACATCAAAGAATTCATTTAGCTTACATACTAATTTTCTGTATTTCTCTAGTAGTCATTTTAGTCCTTTGTCATTCAACTGTCTAACCCAGTGCTTCTTAAGCTATTTGATACGCCAGGGGACTGGTAGGCTTCCCCCTCCCCATCCCATGTGTCTTGGACCCTGGAAACCTGCCACAGACTGGCAGCCAACCAAGAGACCACCATTCTGGGCAGCACTAATCTAGTGTGTGTGCTGTGTGCCTTCAAGTCATTTCCAATTTATGGTGACCCTAAGACAAACCTATCATGGGGTTTTCTGGGCAACATTTGTTCAGAGAAGGTTTGCCGTTGCCTTCCTGTGAGGCTGAGAGCATGTGATTTGCCCAATGTAACCCAGTGGGTTTTATGGCTGAGCAGGAATCGAACCCTGGTCTCCAGTCGTAGTCCAGTGCTCAAACCACTATGCCACACTGGCTCTCTTAGCACTGATAATATAAAGAGATTAATTTAAAAAGAGCTCTAGGCACAATATTTCTAAAACTGCATTCAATGCTGGTAACATGTTTGTTTTAGACAGAATTT